AAATAAATGTATTTAAAATATTTAAATTACTGAGCAGTAAGTTATTCCAGAGAACTTCAAACTTATATTAATTATACTATATTGTAGGGGGGAAAAAGAACAGTGTTGATTGGAACATATTTCATAGTGATAAAAAGCTAAATATCCATGAAGAGGTGTAGTCATGTGATGGTTATTAATATGAGTATGCCAGAACACCATGAAGCAATGTGAATAAAATCTAATTTAGAGTAGAAAACGTAGTTCCAGACTTCTACAATAATTATATTATCATTTATATATAATTTAAAAATAATGTTTAGTGATATGTTGTTGTTGTTGTGTGCCATTGAGTCGCTTGCGACTAATAGTGACCCTGTGTAAAACAATCCTAAACCCTGCTCTGTCCTATGCCATTCTCACTGCCCATCCTGATTACCCCAGTCACTGAACCAATCCACCTCATAAAGGGCCTTCCCCTCCTGCTGTCCGTCCACCATCCCAAGCATGATGTCCCTCTCCAAGGACCGGTCCCTCCTTACAATATATCCAGACAAAGCCTCAGAATCCTTGCCTCCAAGGAGCAGCCCAGTTTAGCCCAGGATGAATCTTTCTGTTTTCTTAGCAGTCCATGGTACACTCAATACTCTTCTCCAGCACCACAGCTCAAAATTCTCCTTCTGTGCTCCCTAGTCATTGTCCAACTCTCTGACGCATAACAAGTGATGGCAAAGACCATGGCCTGTATCAGACGCACTTTAGTCTCCAGAGAGACACCATTGCTCTTCAGTAATTTGGAGAGGTCCCTAACAACAGACTTTCCCATTGCGATACGTCTTTTAAATTCCTGGCTCCTGGTGCCAAGAGTGTTGACTGTGGACCCAAGCAGACTATAGTTTCGAACAATCTCAATCTCTTCACCATCCATCTCACAGCTGCCAGTTGGTCCAGTGGTGAGACTCTTTTTGTCTTCTTGACATTGAGCTTCAATCCATATTAAAGACTACAGTCCTTGACCCTCTGTAGCAGGCGCTTCAGGTCCTCCTCCGTTTCAGCAAGCAGGGTTGTGTCATCTGCATAAAGCAGATTGTTGATAGATCTTCCACCAGTCCTGATGCCACATTTCTCCTCATAGAGGCCACTCTCCCGGATAATCTGTTCTGCATACAGGTGGAAAAAGTAGGGAGATTGGACACATCCCTGGCGTACACCCTTCCCAATTTTGAACCATGCAGTGTTTCCCTCCTCTGTTCTGACGATGGCCTCTTGGTCCAAGTATAGGTTTCACATTAGCATGATCAAGTGTTCTGGGATTCCCATTCTTCTCAGAGTCAGCCACAATTTGTTATGATTGACACAGTCAAATGTCTTTGCGTAATCAATGAAACACAGATAGACATTCCTCTGGTATTCCCTGCTTTCAGCTAAGATCCATCTAACATAAGCTACAATATCCCTAGTACCACAACCCCTTCTAAGCCCAGCCTGGACTTCTGCCAGTTTTCTGATGATGTTCCGTTCCAGTTGTTTTTGGATAATCTTCAGTAGAATCTTGCTTGCATGTGAAATCAATGATATTGTTCTATAGTTTCTACCCTCTGTTGGGTCACCCTTCTTTGGAATGGGAACAAATATAGATGTCTTCCAGTCATTTGGCCACGTGGTGGTTCTTCCGATTTCTTGGCACAACTTGGTGAGCACATCCAATGTAGCATCTGTTAGCTGAAATATGTCAACTGGTATACTGTCTATTCCTGGGGCCTTGTTTTTTGCTATTTCCTTCACAGCAGCCTGAACTTCTTCCTTCATCACCATAGGCTCTTCCTCATATGTTGTTTCATTAAATTCTTGTGTGTCTGCCAATTCCTTTTGATACAGTGACTCAGTATATTCTTTCCATCTTCTTTTAATACTTCCTGGATCACTTAATATTCTGCCTAAAGCATCCTTGATTATAGCAACTTGAAATTTGAATTTGTTTTTCAGTTCCTTGTGCTTTAGATATGCTGAACGAGTTTGGCCCTTTTGATTTTCTGGCTCCAGCTCCTTGCACATTTCATTGTAATATTTTGCTTTGTCATCCCGTGCTCCCTTTTGTAATCTTCTATTCAGCTCTTTAGTATCTTCAATTCCTCCTTGTGCTTTGGCTTCTCTGCGCTCCAGTGTAATATTCAGAGTTTCTTCTGACATCCTTTTGGTGTTTTGACTTTTTGCACTCTAGGTGAATGATACCTTTGACTTCTTCCCACAACTCATTTGGTCTTGCCTCATTAGTGTTCAAGGCCTCAAACCTGTTCATGAAATGATTCTGAAATTCAGGTTGGATGAACTCAAAGTCTTATTTTGGTTCCTGTGAATTCGGTTTAGTTTTCCTCAGCTTCAGCTTGATCTTGCATATGAGTAGTTGGTGGTCTGTTCCACAATCAGCTCCTGGCCTAGTTTTCACAGTTGATATTGAGCTTCTCCAGCGGTTTTTTCCACAGATGTAATCAGTCTTATTCCTGTGCATATCATCCAGTGAAATCCATGTGTATAACCTGCATTTATGTTTTTTATAAAATGTATTTACAATGAATAAGTCCTTGGTTGTGCAAAATTTAATCATTCTCTCTCCAGCTTAATTTCTGTCTCCAAGTCCATATTTTCCAACTACTGATTCTTCTTCTCTGTTCCCAACTTCTGCATTCCACTCACCCATTATTATCATTGCATCTTGATTGCATGCTCAATCAAATATTTCTATTTATGGTAGAAATAATCTCTTTTCTCTTCATTGGCTCTGGTTGTTGGGGCATATATCTGAATGATAGTGGTATTCACTGGACTTCCTTATAAGCATATGGATATTATCCTGTCACTTACAATCTTATACTTCAAGACGGATCTAGAAATGACTTTTTTAACTGAAAAGCAACCCCGTTTTTTTCTCACCTTCTCATCTCCAGAGCAGTATATTATATGATCTTCTGAATCAAAATGCCGCATGCCAGTCCATCTCATCTCACCAATGCCTACTACGTCAATATTTATGTGTTTCATTTCTTTCTTAACAATATCTAATTTTCCTACATTCATGGATCTCTCTGTTAACTGAGATACACAAGAAAAATTTAAAAACATAAATACAAAAAATATACTGCAAACTCACTACTTTTCAATTGAGTATGATTTAGAAGTGGTCAAATATGAAAAATTAGAGCTTTACTTTAGAAAAGGAAGATAGAGGTCTTTGCGTCCTCCTCGCCTTGTGCAGGGCAGCCCAGTCCAGCCGTTGGACAAATTAAACAGCCACCATGTTGAGCAAAATGTCAGATACCAATACTACCAAGAAGCATCCTCGGCATGCAACATCCAACGTGTTTGCCATGTTTGCCCCGTTCCAGATTCAGGAGTTCAAAGAGGCCTTCAACACGTTTCACCAGAACAGAGATGACTTCTTCAACAAGGAAGATTTGCATGATATGCTGGCCTTTGTATGGAAGAATCCGACGAATGTGTAACTGGAAGCCATGATGAATGAGGCCCATCAACTTTACCATGTTCCTCATGGTGTTTGGGGAGATCCTCAATGGGACAGATCCCCAGGATGTCATCAGAAATGCTTTTGCCTGCTTTGATGCAGAAGCAACAGGCACCATTCAGGAAGACTACCTCAGAGAGCTTCTGTCCACCAAAGGGGACCACTTTATAGATGAGGAAGTGGTTGAGCTCTACAGAGAAGCTCGATTGGCAAAAAAGGAAATTTCAGTTACATCGATTTCACACCCATCCTGAAACATGGAGCAAAAGACAAGGATGACTGAACAAACTTTAGCTGAAACAGTCTAATTATCTTAAGTTTATTCCCAAGACACTCTCCCCCTTTCCCTCCTAGAACTTGTGCATGCGCGTAGCTTCACAGCTTTGCCTCTTACCCTCTGTATTTATTCCAGGCCTTTTTGCCTCTAGTATCTGTATAATCAGGATAGGAATTGGGATGAGGATGTATGTTGTATTAAATAACAGATGATGATCAAAAATCAACAAATGTGAAATCCCAGGGGAAAAAAAGGAAAAGAGAAGTAAAAGTGATAGTGGATGCAGCAATGAA